CCATCACGACCTTTTTTTTAATTTACAAACGTTTTCAATGCTCTGAATTTCATGGAACAAGTGTAAAAGTACAACATTTGTAATGATTAATATATTCTTAATATAATATATGGCATTGTGTATTTTAGGAAGTAAATAATTTTCGATTGATAGATAAGTGCTTACAATTATTTAACCAATCTTGACTGTTGGCACCCATCCAATAGGATTGCATAATGGGTGCGTGAACTTCACTTATTTCAAGGTTTTACAAAATTAAAGGCTAAATCAGGTTTATACCTGCGGCCTCAGCTTTCGCCTAGCTCTATTATAATTAAATAGATTACCTTTGTGATCTAGTCTATTTGTCATACGAGTACCTACTGCATTAACATTTGAACAATTAGCCAAAATCGTCATCTGGAATTGTTTCAACATTGCTTCTTCACAATTTTGATAAAATAATCTTAAATCTGTAACAATTCGTCAGTAATCAATAAACTACCATTCTATAAATACCACCGCACGAAAACTGTCCGCTTATTGAGACAAAACTATTCGGATAATGATGATATCGGCGGATGATTAAGTAAGGTCTCCGAAATACCATTTATATGGACCGGTTTCGTAGCAATACGAGCGCGTTGATGTCTTTTATATGGCTTATCTCGATTTATAGTCATTGCCGTAGTATATCGGCAGGTTCGATTACTTGCGTACTGTTAAGTACTTCCCTCATTTCATGTGGGTGGTACGTGTAGTACCCGCTCTTTATGTAATAATCGTGCGCATAGTTGAGTGTGGTAGTGTGCTATGATGCGCTCGCAACGGCGGGTGAGTTCTCGCGAAAGCCTGCCCTTTGCCCTACCGATACCCCGGAAGGGTTCGCCGCTAGGAAACGAATAAGGAAGACCCGATAACATCACTATGCCCGTGACTTCGCTCGGCAGAACATCGTTCATTAAATAGACGTTTATATGCTAGAGGCTCTTCCCACGCTGTTGTCACGATAATGATAGTTCATCGATAGGTTAGCTTGGAAAGGTGAGTTTATAATGTAACTGAGTAAGTACTGCAATAAAAGACATGCGTACCAATAGTTTATTAATGGGTACAAAATAAAAATAAAACTTATTACTGCTTGAAATAGAACTATAAATAAGTAAGTAAGAAATATCTTCCAACTCTGCCATGATCCCCAGTACCTCCCTATACTTACTAGCCGCGTTTTACTCGTTACTTATGTATTCTGTGTCGTTACAAATCTGAAATTAAGAGCTCCGCAAAAAAACTCCGGCCCACAACTTGTCCGACGTTGTTGCCTCGATGAGGCTTTGAAATCATAAAGTTCGAATTTAGGTATAGTAAGTTGCGTGAATATAGGGACGAGGTTTTGTTTCATCAAATCGTGGTAAGATAAGTAAACCAATAAGTACATAATTGACCGAGAAAAAGCTATAACAAGCTGGAGGGGTTTCAGGTACTCATGCATATGAACAACTTTCCCTGTTGAACACGGGTCGAAAAATGAAAAAAAAATAGGACCTCCTATCTATAGCAAACAATCAGGTGATCGGCGATTTGTATGGGAGGGCCAAATTATTTTTCATATTTTTTCCCTTGTTCCAAGGAGAAAGTTGTTCAGTGCCTTGACCTCATTTCGGATTTTTACACTCTTTTTGTTACTCCCAGTAAAATTGATTTAATACTTCGATGCGTCATTGCTGTTGCTGTTGTTGCTTAGGCGTTACGTGCGTGTCGCGCAACGCAACGCAAGTCTCACGCCGGTGTAATACAGCCTTGACATTGGGTTAGCAGTGTTCAGTTGCGGGCGGCGTCGCGGCGAGTCAATAAAGGCACACAACCGGATCCGAACAAAGCTGGGCTAAGAGGACGATCTTTGGAAATTACACGTGATTCAGGCAGTTGACATCTTCCGTTTTACGAGATTTCAAAATTCGCGTCGTGTAGATTGCGAATTTCAACTCAAGCTTTATAACGAACTTTGATCATCCTTCGGTGACAGTTTCTATTGTGCATCTCAAACCTACTAGGTACATTTCCCCTATACTGGGAGTAACAGAAAGGGTATAACAAGCCGAAAGGAGGTCAAGGTACTCATGAAACTGAACAACTTTCCCCAAGGAACATGGGTCGAAATATCAAAAAAGAATTTGTACCCCGCATACAAAATCGCCGATCAGCTGATTGATTTAATATGGGAGGTCCAATTTTTTTTTCATATTACGACCTATGTTCCATGGGTAAAGTTGTTCAGTTTCATGAGTACCTTGACCTCCTTTCGGCTTGTTATACCCTTTCTGTTACTCCCGGTATAGTGTCAGGATATGGTATGATGAGCACAGTGTTGAGACCTATGTGTAAAGATAAAAGAAAATATGTAATATAAGCAATTGTCGTATATCGAATTTATATACCTATCCAATAATTTACAATACTTACTTTCAAATTACCTGACCAATTATTTTATTTCCATCCATCCAGTATCAACACTATGTAGGTGTTAGGTAGGTATTTTAAAGGTTTCTACGACATAGTTTATATGATTGCATGCAGTAGTTTAGATGATTCATTGTGTAGAACTTTTGTAATAGGTACTTACTTACATAATCCTTGACGTAGGGGTTGGAATATAGATATTACTTCAATTTGATAAAAATATTTTACAATTGATATGATGATAAGTGTATATTATTTAGTAACTATTGTGTCAAATAACTATTATGTCAAATAATGTAATAAAATAATATAATGTGGGTATCTTTGACGAGGAATATAATAACTTGAAAGAAGAAACGTAGTACTACTTTTATGCGGCATCTCGGTTTCTATTTTAACATAATTTGCTTAGATTTTATTACTAAATGGTTCCGCTGGAAAAAAAGCGTGTTAATTGTTTAAAATTTCGCGATTTGTGGGTTATGCAATTCAAATGATAATAATAATAAGGTGTGTGTGCGCACGGGAACGAACAAATTGAGAGTTTATGCTAAACCGACGCACGGAGTAGGGCACAGCGTTATGATAGTGAGGTTTCTCTGCATTCCTACCGTTAGCATTATTTTGTTTAGTGCAAATTAAATTAGGTGATACTTAGTAGTACCTTCTAACTTATTCTTATGTAAAAAGTATACTTTAATGGGAAGCGTAATGCCCAACAAATAAATAATCTTATTTAAACTTTGGTTCTCGTAAGCAGGGAATCTTCGAGGCTCGTAACTAGGAAATCATCACCCTAGTACTATCACTTATAACTACTGTGCTGCTGATGAGAAGAAAAAATAAAGTTTATGCAGGTACCGATAGATACCACGACAGTAAATAAGTGTGCGCGATGCGTGGAATGTGGATGTAGAGCTAACATCATAATTTAATTATAGTTGGTAGTTAGAGATAAAGTTATGATACGGCCTCCCTCCCTATAAAAGTGTGATGATCTAAAAAAATTTACATTGATTAATTACTTTGTTTTTTTTTCTTATACAGAATGTGCGAATTGTTTTATCGTTTGGTTTTTGTCAGATCTCAGTCATCTGGCTGTCTGCGTGCAAAATAGGTGAGGCTCTCAGACTTGGGCGAAAATTAGATAATAGCGTTGTGAAAAGATTTAGCGTGGTGCGGCAAGAAAGTCGCTAACTGCGCTTGTATTTGCCGCCGCCGCATCATGCCGCCCAGCTGAAAATGGTCACCGGGTCACAGAAACAGTCATATAATACTCGTCGGTTCTCACACATACCGTATGCATTTCCGGTATTTTGCCGAGTCGGGTTTATTGGAGAATGGTGTTTAAGAAATTCCGTACAGTGCAGGCTGTCGCTGCATCAGATTGCGAATTGTAATTAGTATGTCAAATAAATACATAAAATATAATCGTATATCTAGTAAAATGACAACTAGGAAAAATATGTTTGATTCAAAGATAAAATATATTATAAAATATCTTGGATGACTTTGCTAAATATTTATGCACCAAGAACTTAGATTTGTCTGGAACGAAATGTATGTATACAGGATGTAAAAAAAACAACTGCAAATATTTTAAGGGGTGAACCAGCCCATGAAACTGAACAACTTTCCCCAAGGAACGTAGGTCGAAGAATGAAAAAAAAATTGGGACTCCCATACAAAATGTACCAGCCGACCGAGTCAATTTGTATGGGAGAGCCAAATATTTTTTCATTATTCGACCTATGTCCCCTTGGGGAAAGTTGTTCAGTTTCATGGGCTGGTTCACCCCTTAAAATATTTGCAATTGATTTTTTTACATTCTGTATAAGTACATTCATTTCGTCCCAGACAAATCTGGGTTTTTCTTGTATGAACATTAAGCAATGTTATCCTAGATATTTTATAATATATTTACTCTTTAAATCAAACATAATTTTTCTAGTCGTCATTTTACTAGATACGCGATTATATGTTATGTACTTATTTGACATCCTACCTATTGCCTACCTACAACTGAGTACAAGATATACTTGAGGGTAAGAGTGACCACAAGACAGGCCTCTCGTATAAGGTTTATCTGTTTTATCTAATATTTTCTATACTAGATGAGGTAGGACCCTGTATATTTTTTTAATTAAATAGCAATACCCGAGTGAACCTATATATATATGCATTTCGTTGCTGGCGATTCTGGGTTTTTGTTGTATTTTAGCCAAGCCCTTTGGATCTTACAAATTGAAACAGTTTGATAATCTGAGCAACATCACGAGATGTTTTCCGTATTTGAGAAGACCGTTATGTGTGCATAGCGCCTGTGGCAGGACATTAAAGTTAATGTCTTTATGAGAGCAACAAGAATGAATTGGTTTGTTTGAACGATGCGCCGGTCGTGCACCTACGTCCGCATACTTATTTACAGTAACGTATGGTTTTCTTGTTGCATCTGCGGAAACGGACATCGTTGGGATGAAGATGACACGCAAAATGGATACCTACTGAGATGCCTACGCTAGAGCCTATACATGAAAATAAGAGATAATGATAAATTCGTTAGCGCCGGCCGGGACTTGAACCCGAGACCGTGGGGTACCGTCCCACTGCTCTGGTAACTGAGCTACCGGCGTAATTATGTGTATCATATAGCACTGTGAGTGCATTAAAAATCCCAATAGGTACATCAGAGTCTATACGTCCGTATGACCACATCCTAAGGCGAGGAACACACGCAACGTCGGTTTGTGCGTCGTTTGTTCGATTTTCCACCTTATTTTTATACGAATACGGTTTATATCAAACGATTTGACAGACAACGCAGCGTTGTGCGATGCCGTTTGACACAAACCGTATTCATATGCAGGTAGGGTGGAGAATCGAATGAACGACGCACAAACCGACGTTGCGTGTGTTCCTCGCCTAAATCTGGTCGATGTAGGCTAATCCGGGCCTACTTAATCGAAAAACCTTTTGCAACAACAGTGGACCATTCCTATCCTACTACAGTACGTAACGTAAAAAGACATTTGGGGTGATTCAGATACCCCTCAGTATTTTGACCCTGTATATAAATATTTTACCGGATCTTCTTATCGTCTTGTGCGTCCCTTGCCTACAAATGTTGATGAAGTCTACTACCTACTTAACAAATATTAAAATATCTTATCTTATCTAGCCGTCTGGATCCCACTGCTGGGCAAAGGCCTCCCTCTCTTTCTTCCTCCTATTAAAATATAGTTTTACCAAAAAAGTTTTCTTTTTTATATGTTTGTACTATTAACCTATAAACACAAAACTCATAATCAGAAATCATTATGTAATGATTGGGTGTCTAATAGTGTGTATCATTGGTTTGATTCGATTTCCTAAGCACAAGTTTCTTCATGCATAGTTTAAAAGAAAATCCAGTACGAGTTTCCTCACCTTTTAGACCGATAACTTACAGCTACTATAGGTCTGGCCAGCGAGTCTTTGGACACGGAAATGGCGCCAATTTTAAAAATCTTTCACATGTTAACACTGAAAAACTACAATAAAACAATTTTGATACTTACTATTTTTTTGTTTTCTGCTCTTCAGTTTGTGTTTACCTTGCCTACCGGTACGTATGTATGATGTATCTACCGGGAGTAACAGAAAGGGTATAACAAGCCGAAAGGAGGTCAAGGTACTCATGAAACTGAACAACTTTCCCCATGAAACATGGGTCGATATATGAAAAAAATATTTGGACCTCCCATACAAAATCGCAGATCAGCTGATCTAGACACACGGCAGTGTGTCCGCCAAGTTCGAGCAAAAAAAGCGATACATCGGCCGTGGGTTATATTACACGAACCATTTCGGGCCAAGTTCGACCCACCTATAACTCAAAATCTATTTTATCTACGCATATGAAATTTCTAGTATCTGTCGAGATCTACTTACTTATCTAAAATACAAAATTTCATTAATGTACCTATTGTAGGTCTTGAGATATTGACGTCAGAAAATCGCTATTTTTACTATACACTCACTGACTGACTGACTCACTCATCAAAAACCTAGACCACTTCCAATGGTCGTATTGACTTGAAATTTGGCATGGAGGTAGGTCTTTAGGTCAAGGTAAAGGAAAAAATCTGAAAATGGCCAAGTGTGAGTCGGTTTTAAAAATAATGAAGGTGTAAATTCATACCCCTAAGGAACTAAAACAAAAAATTTATCTATATCTTCCAATCGTCGTACCGACCTAAAATTCGTTACGAAAGGTTTGTATTTAGTTAAAGTAAAGTATAAATGAAATATTTCCTTACCTAACTTAATCATAAGAAAAAAAGAATAAACCTTACAAAAATAATGAAATCCACCAAAACATAAATGTGAAAGGTCAAGTTCGATAATATTGAATGCTTCGCCTATAAAGAAGTGAGATCTAAATAAGTACCAAGTTCCATACACAGACCTCAGTTAAAAATAGTTACAGGAATGCACACTTGATTTTTCGCAGTTTGGAAATAAGAATCTACTTTCCAAACTGCGGAAAATCAAGTGTGCATTCCTGTAACTATTTTTAACTGAGGTCTGTGTATGGAACTTGGTACTTATTTAGATCTCACTTCTTTTATAGGCGAAGCATTCCAATATTATCGAACTTGGCAGCCTTTCACATTTATGTTTTGGGTGGGATTGATTTACTCTGAGAGGTCCAATTTTTTTTATATTTCGTCCCATGTTTCATGGGGAAAGTTCTTCAGTTTCATGAGTACCTTGACCTCCTTTCGGCTTGTTATACCCTTTCTGTTACTCCCGGTAGATACATCATACATACATACCGGTAGGCAAGGTAAACACAAACTAAAGAGCAGAAAACAAAAAAATAGTAAGTATCAAAATTGTTTTATTGTAGTTTTTCAGTGTTAAAATGTTGCCATTTGAAATATTTGAATTATTTGACGTCCAAAGACTCGCTAGCCAGACTCTAGTACCGTCATTCGAATAGGCCATATTTGATAGCTGTCAAAATCATGTTAAGAATCTTCGGATCTCGCCCGAGACAGAAGTCAAACATTTAAGGAAGCAGTTACACTAAAGGGCAAGGTTTATAGCTGAATTTAGGTTTGTATAGCTGTCGACAGGGGCCTTAGAACAGAACCTTTGGAACCCGAGACGGAACTCATATACCGTTACCCCAAGGAAAGGTCGCAGTTAGGTCATAGGGCATAATTTCAGATTAATCTAGGTTTGTATATCTCGCGACAGCGACGGAGGAGTGGGAGGGGGGCTCTAGTCGCCGGGTCTCGAAGTCTCGACGCGACGTGAGCAGGAAGCGACTTTGTGCACCGAGCGGTGTGGCGGGCGGTGGCGGTGTGCCGCTGTGCCGGTGTACAGGAAACCGTCTCGCCCGGACATCATCCGCAGCGCAGACCGAGCTCGCTCGTATGACGTCAAGCAACATTTAAAAGAGGTAGAGCGATATTTCAGTTTTACTAAATATTACTAAGCGGCACGTTTACGGTTTCACACGTTGCAACTGATTTTCCCGCGCGAAAAATACATAAAACTTTCTCTTAAATCACTCTATCTAAGTATTACAGTAACCTGAAAATGAGCTAGTACCTAATAATGAGTTGAGTTGGGGAATTTTCTAATTATGGCTGTTGTACCTGAATTTAGTTGGGGGTATTCAATTATAAGTGGACTGCTGTGGCTGTTATTTTTAAATATATGTCAACAGAATCATACTCAGACTGATCGACCTCCATACCTAGGGTAGGTATATCCACTCGGCTTAGGCTAGTTTCTCGGCAGGTAAGCATACATTAGGTACTGAAAGAAACCTGCCCTCTGGAGGTCCTTATAAGTTTAGTAAAACAGTTAGACTGTTTACTTAGAATTGAAGATGGCCAATATTAAGTGTGATCGTCTATTGAGTTAGGAATACATTGCGTTAAAGTAGTGACTTGTTAGTTCTTACGAAGTGGAGCAGTGTTTTGCTTGAGATGTATAAGGAGGAAACATTTAAGTTTAAATACAAAAAAAACTACAAGAATACGGGGCTCCCATCCATCCTACACACCCGTCCGAAAGGGGCCAAGACGCACTCATACGACTTTCCTAAACGACCGAAAAATTTTGAATTACACGACGCTCTGCATATTGAAGAAGAAAACCAAAAGATCAAATACTCCTAATATTATGAAAACTAACGAAGTTAATTGTGCTCCACTAGGAAGCAAGTTAAAAGGGGTCTAGGTTGGGGAACCAGGTCCGGAGATACCTGGTCCATGGCAACCCTGGGATAGTCCCGTGGCCAACCAACCCGGATTCCTACCTATCTAAGCCTACCTAACTAGCTCAAAGTCAAAAGACTGAGTATCCGCGTACCCTAAGGCCAAAAAGTATTTTGGGGACAATCTTCTACAAGAAACCCAGAAGGTGAACTGTAGAATAATGGGTGGGTGGCCAAACCCTTCGTGTTGTGTGTCTTTGTTGAGGTATGGAAGCTTTCCTCTAAGGCACCAGGGCCAGGAAAGCTACGCACCTCAACGCGGGGTAGTCTGGACTAGACCATGTATAGTAAATTATGCTTGCAATACCAACCCAGGAACTTAGAAGTAGATCTTGTAATACTAGGTGTTGTGGCAACTAGCATTACCTCACACCCTAGTCCGAGAACAGGTATAGAGTGTAGCGCTTACTCTACAGTTCAAATCAACCTCTGTACGCGCGGTGGCACTTCACAGCATACATACACAGGTTAATAAAATTTAATATTTAAATTAAATTAGAAAATTCGTCAGTCCCCTTTTAAAATTTGTTAAAACAATTTTTATTATAATTTGGAAGATTAATCCGATTTAAAATATATTAGTGTTATAAAAAGGTTGTAACGTTTGGAATAATTAAATCATTAATTTACAAAGGCATTCCTAGCTGAAGAGTAAGAAGATCTTGGCATTGAAGTAAGTATGTTGTGACTGTCCTTCATCCATATCCATTCACAGAAAACGTTCATATATCAGCATCCATGAGTCTCCTAGATAAAAGATATAAGGTTGAAAACGTTCACTCCTTTCCTTTCTTTCCGATTTTATCAAAATATTCCCAGTTTCAATTTAGAAAAAAATCTCAACGTTGGATTATTATCTAATCTAAATATAAATAAAATTGAAATCATAATTCAAAAATAAATTAAAAGAATTTATACTTACATTTTTCCTCTTTAATTCACTCCTATAAAACACGAGTATATTGTTGCACTCACTTTCAAAGAATGATATAATTGCTTGTTGTCAAAAGGCCGAGTTGACGCAAATTTTCAAATTTGAAATAAAAGAATTATAAATAAAACTAGACACCTGAATGTCAAAGTGTCAAAGATAGTTTATTAAAGAAAGAATAAAAGTGTCAAAATTTGAAATATTTCAAAATATTTTAACTTAAGTGTCAAACTTGTGAACTCTTGAAATATTCTATGTTAAGTGTCAAACTTGAAAACCCTTGAAATATTCTATGTTAAGTGTCAAACTTGAGAACCCTTGAAATATTCTATGTTAAGTGTCAAACTTGAAAACCCTTGAAATATTCTATGTTAAGTGTCAAACTTGAAAACCCTTGAAATATTCTATGTTAAGTGTCAAACTAGAAA